ATAACCACATGGACAAGCTACATAGAATTGTGCCTTATAAACAGTAGGCACTAAAATAAATACTTGTAAAATTGGATGCAAAGCCTAACATTTGGATTCTGTCCTGTATTACACGTAAATACCTTCTGCTTTTAGGATTCAGAGTTGCAGCACCATCAAGTGGTCATTATTGTTAGTTCTCTACTATCATCTTTCAGAAAGAAAACATATTTTCAAAGAATAATAGGATCATAAAGTTTAGTGTTGGGATTCGATCAGAGGTCATCTGATCTACCACCCTTATTGTATAGATGAAGAAACTGAGGCCCGGAGAGTAGATTAAGTGATTTGCCCACGGTCATATATAACACTAAATGGCAGAGCTAGGATTTAAAATCAGGTCTTTTTTTTTTTAATTGGGGTTAAGTGACTTGCCCAGAGTCACACAGCTAGTGAGTGTTATGTGTTTGAGTATGCATTTGAACTCAGGGCCTCCTGACTCCAAGTCCGGTGCTCTATCCACTGCGACACCTAGCTGCCCCCAAATCAGGTCCTTTCCCTCCAAATCCAGTCTTCTCTCCACTGGCACCTCAGCCATCCCGATTTGTGGCCAGTGTTATTCAGTCTCACAGACTCTTAGAATTGGAAGGGACCTTAGAATATTCTTGTTTTAAAGTTCTGTGAGCAATTAGGAACAGAAATACTCGACAAGTTCCTCTAGTCCACTTCTTTCAACAAAACACAGCTCTTGCTATTACAGAAGGTAGCAAATGAGGTGGTTAGCTGTGATGACCTTTTAAAGTTCCTGCCAGCTCTAAATCCTAGGACCCTTGTATCATTCAGCCAAATCTAATCAGATGGCCAGCACCAAAGGAGAGATGCCCCTGTTTTTTCAAAAACGATTTTGGAATCCCTTAAAACGGGCTCCGTGTTATAATTATTCGCTCAAGAATGTTTACAAATCGCCTTTAAGATATTCAGGGTCACCTATAAATGTTCATACTTCACATTTCAGCAGGTTTATATGGCACCTGAAAATGTTCTAAGAATCATGTGGCCACCAACGATACTGACAGAAGGAATCTGGAATGAATTGTTAAGGATTATGCAACCTTGGGCAAGAGACTGAATAAAACTAAGGGACCTAGGTGGTTATTTTCATCACCACTACTAATTGAAGGCAAGGGCTTCAGAACAGAATAGCAGATTTGGAAAGTGAATAGCTAATAAGGAATATGACAGAACTAGAAATAGGTTGCAAATTGCAGAGGCAATTTAAACTTGATATAAAACACACTGCTACTTGGAATCCTAATGCAGTATGACAGGATTTCAGAAATGGTAAGAATCTTGAAGCTGTCATTTCAGGAAGCACCTCCTCCTAAAGAAAGGACTCCTGATAGCCATTTGGTTTTTGTTTAAACATTTCCATCGAAGATCTGTTCCTTCATAAGAACAATCTACTTTACTCCGGAGTACTGGACAACTCCATTCATTAGCAAGTTTTTTCTTATGTTTGGCTTAAATCCTCCTTCCAATAGACCTAGCTCTGTCTTTTGGAGCTATGGTTATTAAGACTAGACCCTCTTCCACATGGCAAACCTTCAAATGCTTGAAGAAATTCTTTTTCCCCTTTCTTCTTGACACAGTACTGATTATTCACCTTCAGTCACGTAATTTTTCACCCTTATCCTGTTCATCTTCATTTGAATGCATTCCATTTTATTAAGCTCCCTCTTAAAATACGGCACCCAGATCTTACTGAAAATTTCCAGGTAAGGACCTATTAGGGCTTGAATACCAGACTTAAAGATCAATTCTTCTTTTTAAACAACCACTATTTTAAATCCTTCACCAAAATCCACAAATTTCACACGTAGCACAGTAAAAAGAGCAAGGGATTGGGAGTCAGATGATCTGAGCAAGCAATTTCCTATCTCTAAGACTAAGTTTAACATTCTATGTTTTTGGTTTTTTTTTTTAATTTTAGGTCTTACCAATCTTATGTTGGGCAGGAATTTATTTAGCCCACTATGATGGAACATAAGTGCTACAATTTTTACTTTCTTCCAAATTTTAAAATAAGAAGAGTATTGGTTAGACACAATGCAAGAGATCTTCCTATTCAATGATGTCTAGATTTGGTTATGGTGACCTTGCTCATTAAGAAATAGGTTTCCATGTGAATTTTAATAACTTTTCCAAGGCACACAAATTCCCCATCTCCCACTATGTTACATTATATCTCAGCCTGTATTGGCTTGCTGAAATAATGTTGGCACCAAACTACAGTGTATTTTTCTCTTAGAAAGGGTGACATACTCACTGCACAAAGAAGTAGCAAAATTTTTAGAGGTTTTAAGTTTATTAATTCTGCAAATATTGTCAGCCATCCCCACAATGGATAATGCCACTGTGATGTCCCATATTTGTGAACCTCAGCAGCCAGACGAGACCCAGCGCTAGTGCTAAGGATTTTCTTTTTGCTCCCAAATATCAATCCTTTCTCCCCTATGACTGGATTTATTTTTGTTGCTGGGCTTGTGGACCTGTAAAAAGACAATGATGCAAGGCTTTTCACAATTGATAATTGTGTAACGTTAGGGTCTTCAAAGTTACAGAGTTTCTAGAACAGGAACTTACTCAGATTACATCAATCTAATTAAAAAAACCCAAACAAAAAACCAAACAAAAAACCCCCCAATATCAATATGACTCAAGCATATGCTGCAACAACCATCTCAGAAATCATGCTCCCAAAAATGTTTATTGTCTTACCAGTTTTCTGTTAGTCTTCACTTTAAAAAATTATAGGGGTTCAATCATTTCTTAAAAGTGTTTTGTTTTTAAGAAATGACAAGCTGCAAACTGACCAGGGTGGTGAGAAGACCGGAGACCATGCCAAAAAGGATACATAGAAGGAACCTGTGATGTTTGGCCTACCGAAGAGAAAACTTTAAGGGGTTATGCAGCTATCTTCAAGCACATGAAGGACAATCACAGGAAAGAAGGTTAAGATTTGTTCTGCCTGGCACCCGAAGGCATAATTAGGCTTGATGTCAAGTTGTAGAGTTGTGAAATGAGTTGCCTCAAGATGTAGTGGATTCCTTTCCCTTTAATTAGAAGTCCTGAAGTATAGACTGGATGAACTTTCTGTTAGGGAGGTTATAAATAGGATTTCTATTCAGACATGAATGATGCCACTTATTTCTAAGATGAGGAAACTTTTTTGAGAGACAAAACTGAATAGCTAATATGCCTTGATTAGGATGACAACTACTACTTTTATTAAGAGGGTCAGCAAGAATATCTCACTGGCTACTAAAATCTTCTGAATGACCTTCTACTTTTTCTATATTTTCTTTGTCACTTTAAACAGACAAGCATGAAAGCAATATTATTCTACCTTATGAGAAACTGGACTTTTTAAAGAACTCTACTCTTCAATTTTGTTCCACAGAATGTGAATTATCTGAATTTCTTGGAAAGAATAATATATAATGGAGACCAGGATGTACCCAAACCTGTCAGCTAAATGCTTTGTACATTTTGTTTCATTTAATCATGGAAAACTTCTGAAGAATATCTAAGGAGATGAAGTTAAAATGTTGGGATAATTTCCAGGGTGATAATTTTAATGAAGTCCAAACTGCTATTCCTATGTAGTTTGTTTTGCTGAATCATGGAACTTATGGCAGAAGTGCTTCCTGTGTCCTGCCCGCTGCTGACATGGTACACCATAAGGACTTGAATACTCTAAAGTATTACCAAATCCTGTGAAACAAAAGTGCGCATACACACACACACACACACGCACACACATGCAAAGGGGAATTAGTCAGTAGATAGAAAAAAACTTATAGAACATATGGCAGAAAGAAATCTATCTAGAAATTGTGTTCTAGAATGGATCATTTTCAATACTTCCCATTTTCCACATAAATGGAAAGATATGTACTCCTCTCTGTGTGGCCACCTAACATTTTCTAAAAGTGACAAAGAAAAAATAAGAGGAGGAAGGAAGTAAGACCTAAAAGGGTGCTGTATACACACTGGGTTTCATTATGTAACCTTGAGTGTGAGGGAGAAAATATAAGTCCAACTAAAGCTCGGAAATGAAAGGCAATTGACATAAAGCATCTATTGTCTCTAGCAAGATTTCTTCTTGAAGGTAGGCTTGAAAGCTACTGTTATTTAGAGCAATGTGAAAGGGTTCTTATGGATCATTTTGTTTCATATTCTTGCCCTCCTCTCTCCCTCATTTTGCAAATGAAGAAACTGAAGCCCAGAGGGGAAATAACTGTGACCCTTTGGTGTTTCTTTAAGTAGAAAAAAAAAATTTTCTCCCAGGGAACTTTTTTTTTAAAAATTCTGAATGAATCAACAATTTTCCTATCAAGAGGCTATAATCACAAACTGACAGCTGAATTAATCATACCCTCTTATATAACCATGCAGGAAGTGGAAAAAGGCTGTAAGCCTGACACATGCAACAAACCACAAAGAATAAGAAAATTTCATACTTCACTGAAAACAAATCTAATGAAGTCTCAGATTAGGCAGCTCTTTACATATGGGTCCTAGCTAGAAATAAGACAGTCAAGCTGTTCTATACATCTCATTCCTTTCTCACATCACTTCTCACTATAATTTCCCTCTGAAAAAAAGGTGCCAGGTTAAAAAACACTGCCCTCCCATCCCCCTACCCCCTGCAATTCTGAGGATGCACGGAAGAAAGTTCAGTCTTGCATAAATTTAATACTCAACATACAGAGGGGTAGTTTGAGGCACTTTAGCTGATGGATGAGAAAATATATAAACATACTCCGCAATAACACCTTGCTAATGCTCGACTAAATGCCCATTAATACTGTTTCTAGGGTCCTTAGGTAAACCATTGTTGCCCAAGGAGAAAGACAAAGGACCCTATTAATAATGTTAGGTGGGATATGTTTATACACTTCAGTTTTTTTTTTTTATACCAAGTTTTAAATACAGTACTAGGAGACATAATGCAAAACTCTATTGAGGAAAAGTGATTTTTTTAATGATCTCATGAGATCTACTTGGGAAGGAAAAAAACCAACACATAAGCAATGTTCACAACTGTAAATTCAAACCCTTTGTACTTTTTTTTTAAAAGAAAAAAAGAAAACCCCACAGTAGCAAACTGCAAACCCGCGCTAACTGTAATCCTATGCTGATTTTTTATATTAAGTGAAAGTTTCCTCCTTGGCTACATCCATTTTTAGCACCAAAATGATCTTCCAAAGAGGTATTGGTACAGCTTGGGATGTTGGTGTAAGGACTTGTTTACATATATAATACTTTAAACTTATATACTATAAACACATACTATACACTCTCACAGCCACACAAATGGGAGGCATATTTCAATGGATATATTCTGTAGACTGTTAAGAGACCTCAGAACAATGTAAATAAAATGATGGGGTAAATATTTTACAGAATAGGCAACTTTAATGCTGCAGTGCACTTAGAAAAAAAAAGTCCAACTCTTTCTCCTGCCTGAGCAGCTCATTTTCATATACATATTTTTAATACCATGATTCTGAAGATGCAGAAGTTATTGCCTAAATATTATTCTATACATTTCCATAAGTGTTCAGGAAAACACTTGAAATTGGTACTTAATTTACAACATAATTACTTTGTTACAGCTTTAACTCATTGGCAATTTTGGAAGCAATGTTTTTAAAAGCTATGGATGTTCCTGATATCCGCTTGAAGCGGACGCCATTCAGTGACAGTCTTGGCAGTTTGCACACTTCCATTTCCCACTGTACAAGGTTTTCTGCGTGCCCGTCTCCGTGGACACAAAAGAGCAAGAACCGCTCTCTCTGTTCATAGTCACAGTTATTGGCATCCAAGACTTTTCGAATTTCTCTCATCATGTCATTGGGATCCATGGAACTGGTGGTTTTCATGCTCCAGGTAAACCTCAGGGAGCGGGGCTTTGCTTCCTTGTTTTCTTCCTTGTGCTCAGCTGACACGTTGCGACTGAAATGCACAGGGGGAAGGTTTATTTTTAACTCCATAGGAAAACCAACATTATCTACTTTGGTTAGTGAAGCAAATGGCACATTAAACATGTTATGTTTAACAATACATACATACCATTTTTCCTAATAGTTTCCTACAGGATAAAGATAATACTGTGGGTTTGGTCATTTGCTCCTTCATCAAGGAGCACCTATTACAAGTAGCCACAAACACCTTTTTAAAAAATTCATTATGTAATTAAAACGCTATCTGGCCAGTAAATCTGCATCAATTTCATACTTGTTTATTTTTGACCTGCTGCTTTAAGGAAACACTTTATGAACCTTAAAGTGCTATAAATCTGAGTTATTATTCCTTTCAATTTTATTAGCTTTAATTCTCACTTAGAATTTTTCCACAAAAAATCTGAAAAGCCAAGAAAAAAAAATATAAAAAAAGAGAAAAAAGGAGACAAAACAGCACTGCCTGGAATCCTTTGAATTTTCATGGATGATTAGGGAGACTAAAGCAGATATTTTCTGTTTTTGACATTGCACAGTTAAAATCCAGTCTCTTATATACTCCCTAATTTAGGAAACCTACAAAATGGTTTTGAGAATAGCTTGGGGAGAATATATATTTTTACAGATAATAAGATTATTTTTCCTTCTATACATTTACAATTCGATCATTATTGTAGGAAAAAAAATTATTCCTTTCTTGTGCTTAAAAATATCCTCTTCCTCCAGATAAAAAAAATCTAGATCATATTTCATTAGAAGGGATCTAAGGATAATTTTCTTGGATGAAGATAGCACTGAGAAAATGGGAAAGTAAAGGTGGTATTCTGGGACTCTATCATATTCAGTAAACAACTGTTCATTTTTGTCTCCATTTCTTTAATGGTTACAAATGAGAATATATATTTCTAACTCCCAAGCAATTTTGATATTCTTAGATTATATTATCTATAGCTGCTAATAATTAAAAGTCATCGAAACACAAACTCTATGTCATATAAATATAATAATGTAAATATCCAAGTTTTTAGGAATGTCTAGGATATTGAAAATGCTAAATAAGGCAATGTTTTACAGGAAGAAAAATGCGGAGTGACCTACCTACTTTTCCCTCCTACAAAATCCAATATTCAACTTTTTGTCAGAGATCTGAGGACAGATGAGGAAACAGAGGCCCAGAGAGGTCAAGTGCCTTTATCAAGGTCATGAGGCAGTAATCTGAATGGCTGAGATCTGAATTCAAGTCTGAGTCTTATGCTCTTTCTACTAGTGTATAGCACACACTGAAACTTTATAGTGTACTGACTTGCAAATTCTGATACTGGAATGTCTTGTTTCAGCTAAGTCTTTTGAGCTGTGGGGACCTTAGGGACCATATCACATACCCATGCACCCTAGGAGGCTATTCTATGTACAAAATAAGTGTTCATTAAATTTTTGTTGAATGGATAGAAATTAAAACACACACACAAAATCAATCAATCCAATGAGATACACTAAATAAAGGTATCACTGAAGAGTGAGAGATACGTTCCTCTCTCATCACCTCATTATACTTTCTACTACTAATATAACTGGAAAATTGCCCAGTTCTAACAATGTAGAAGTCAATGAATCAAATAAGAATTTGTGCAATGCTACCTGTATGTATACATTCAATGACATTTTTCCAAAAAGAAAATATACAGATATTAACATTTCATTAACCTGTTTTCATCACATAGGAAAGTGGTTTGGGGACACTGAATGAAAATAGTGGTAAATCTAGCATATTTCTTCTCTTGACTCTTATAACAGACCGCCCATTTGGGAAGATGACAATACACATAAACATTTATAACAAAATAAGGCATACTGTTATATGAAATTATCAGGGAGGGTATCTGGAGCTTCATTAGCTATGTTAAGATGATGGGTAGGTGTCATATCAAATCAGCACCCCCATGTAGTTGATTAAAGTAATTAAAATCTCACTAGAAATAAATACACTTTGTATTTTAAGGTACCAACAGCAAGCACATGCTTTGACTAAAGCTAAAACAGACTCAAAATAGCAACTATATTAAACATCTATTAATAGCTTATTAATGTGGTAGACAAGATTCAACTAATATATTATCTTTACTACACAAATGCAAAAATTAAGTAAAATTTTAAATAAAAATGATTCCCCTCACCTTGAACCCTCATATCTCCCGTTCCTCTCATATTCAGTTGGGAGCCTCAAGGAAAAGAATGCAGAAGCATAGAGAAGTGGGGAAAAAGAAGAGAAATCTTACACTAGTGCACAACTACCTATATATGATGCTCAAGAAATTATTTTTTAAAAAAAAGATATCAGATTTATGATTATAAGTAATATTTTTCCAAATTCTTACCCTTTTCCCATTTTGATTATATAATGATTAGGTAGAATTTCAAGTGAATATCTAACAATATACTTGGAGGACAGATGACTAATGACACACATGAAAATGTGTATATTGAATATAAACATTCTTAGGGCCAATGTGAACTTGAAAGTATGAATGATAATATGTTGATTCTGACTTTTTAAACTCTCTTCCAAAATAATGAGTGGGCTTCTGACAGCAAGAGGGTATAATTTCAGGTTCAGACTCTTTGTAAATTCATTTTTCTTCTAATAAAGGGAAATTTGGCAGCTTTTAAGTTAATTTCCCATGATGGGCAATTAGCAGTCAATTTACAATAGAAGTGGTGAATTTCTAGTAATAATAAAGCAGATATCCCACAGTCTGGTAAAAGAAACTTCATACTAGGTTCATTCGGTGAAATCTATGATTTTATATACACCAAAAAACATCATTCTAACCCTTTATAAGACAGTCGGAGAATTAATATTGTTGCTCTCAATGGTTCTCTACCCTCTGAGTGCTACCTCTGATGCACAGCTTTTATTTTATGTTTCAATGGTCGTCACCAAAACACATTTAAGCCAACTGATTAAAAAGTAATTTTACTCAAATCACACTGGATTTTAGTTACTTAACAATAAAAACATATAACGATTATTCACAGCAGTTTAAGGGATCTACATACACTACATGCCCTGAGATTAGAGAAAAGGTAAAGAATTAGCCTCATTTAATGGATGAGGAAACTGAGGCAGAAGTAACTGAGCAGCATATAATGATGGGAAGAACTTGGGTCATAAATGAAATTGCTTGATCCCCATCCACTAGAGAGAGCCTACTACTTTTGTTGATAAAAATCAAGTAATCAAAATGTTCAACTCCAAAGTATCTTAAATGTTGATGTTATACAGTTGTCTGTGTCTTAAGGTCTTCTAGGCTGACTACATTGTATCATAGCATTATCTGAATTTTGGGTCTGTTTCTAGTATAGGCATGTGGCCAATTTCACCATCATTCTGATTTTCAAGTTTTTCTGTTAATAAAACCCTCTAACAGAGAAACAGAAATTATGATTAACATAAACATCACTCACCTTTGGCATGCTAATGGCTATATAGCGATAGTTCATTAATGTTACTGAACATTTCATTCTCCAAAAAGAAGCATGCTAAGTGTATTAGTATAAAGATCAAATTATTCAGATGCTAATCATTCTACAAAAGAAAGAAAATGCACAGAGCATGCTTAGCCTCTTGTTACATGGGTGCCACAGGCCCTTATATTTTGGAAAGAGTTCATATGCTTCTTTCCATGTATTATATATATAAAATTTTAAAAGGAAACAAGTATTTAGTTCTCAGCAGAAATTTTAGTTTTAAGAGAAACCAGGGCTATAAAGCCAAACCTGAGGTTAATTGCAGAAGCCATTTGGGGATGGGGATGGAAATATAAAGTCCTACCTTTTGATAAACCTGAATGACATGTTTCTAAAAGAAATTAAGCCAAAAGCAAAATTAACCAAGGTGATTTGTACAAACTAAAATGAAAAAAAGTCCAGTCAATTAGAGACAACAAAAAACAATAAACAAAACAAAGTTCATTTTTTACTAACACATAATGAAACTGTTTCAAGATGTTGGCTGAAAAATGAGTCAATAATAGGTTTAACTGAATATCCGAGTTCTTAATTTGGGATTTTTTAGTGAAAAAGATCAACCTTGAGGCAGAAAACTGATTTTTTTTTGGGGGAAAAATGCCAGAAGCAATTAACAATTTTTTGTATAACTGCCTATTGAATTAAATTATGTAAAATCTTCACAGATATAGCAAATACTGTTTTTGAAAATTCAAGTTACATTAAGAAATGAAAGGGCATTTTTTTTAAGCAGATCAAGTCAGCTGTGATATACTCATAAATAAGACATACTACTCAAATTTATTTAAAGTATCTAAGTGACAAGCATCCCATGCTAAACTTTGAAACTACTAATAATCTGAAAATGTTACTATTAAATAGAAATATTTAGAAATAAATACTAAAAAATCAGCCAAATTAAAAAACTATGTCTTTTTATTATGTCCAATCTTAACACTACTCTGAGGTAGGGTAGGGGAGTGATGTATTTTCAAAACCAATGCAATCCAGTTTTTAGTTCTGAAATTGATATATTTGTTAATAATAAAATAGGGAGTTGTCACAAAATGGATTATTACATATTTTAAATGATTACTGATTTATTACACTGACAGTAGTTATATCCCATTTTAATCACTCTTAGAAAAAATAGGTCACAATTTCAGAGCTGAAAAGTACCTTGGAGGGTCAGATTTTTACTACAATTTTAATTTCCTTGTTGGGTTACCTTTGCTTTTTGGTCATTCAGGATCACTGACATAATTTCAGAAATGAACAATTTAGCAGTATTAACTAAAAGTACTAAGAAATTTTCTTTCCAGAGCCCTTTGTGTCTCTTGTATTCTACTTAACACACTGTACCTTATATTCATTTTACCTGTTAGGCTATCAGCCCACAAAGGGCTAGGATCGAAGCTTACTCATATTTGTATCCTGCACAATGCTGTGTGTGCTCAATAAAATAATCTCATAAAACAGAAAAAAAGAGGCAATGCTATAGTCTATTTCTTTGTTATACGGAGTTAAAAGTGATGGATGTTATACAGCCATATGAGTACTAAGTCACCAAAGACGGTCATTTAAAAAATAACTGTCACCTAAGATAAGCACGATTTACAGGTAAGGTGGCTCACAGCATTTAAAAAATAATTTTTCTCTCAAAACAGGAAGATCAAAAAGCACAAATAACTTAGGCTAGACTGAATCTGAGAAACTGGGCAGTGTTGCCAATGACCCTAAACTAGTCTAGGTTGCAAAAGCCAAACCTTTTAACACTAATATTCTCCTAGTGATAAAATATGGCTGTAACTCATGTAACACCTTGGCTGACTTCAAAAGAATCACAACTGCAGGTGACCCAAAGGGCAATGGAAAGACAAAATATGGGTGTGAGCAGGCTGCAGGATGTTACCAATGATAGTTATGTGTACAGAAAATTGAGTGCAGTTTCTTATTGGCTCATAACTCAAATATGCTTTGGTTCAGAACTGGCTCTATGTTTAAAGAGAAAGAAGTAGAGGTTAAGTGCCCTTCCCTAAGTTTGAGTCAATGATGACTCATGTAAAAAAAAATTCCCTAACTGGGACTTTAATATATGTCAGCTGTATTAATTAAAGAAAAGAGAGATTAATGTGGCTGTCACAGGGTATAGTGGAAGGAACGTTACTCTTGGAATCAGGAGATCTGGGTTACAATTCCTAATATTTACTAGCTGAGGAAATTTCCATTTCTTAATTTATAAAAGAAGGTTAGATTAGATGTTATCTAAGATCCCTTCCAAGTATGAATCCTATGACCTAAGTTTTGGATTGATGATCTAGACAAGCCATTGAAGGGACCTACAAGATTGCAGGATTCAGCACACATCTTCAACAATACAGGTCACATAAAAACAAAAGCAGTAATATAAGAGTCCAGGAGATGAAGCCTTGTCTAGAAGAGCAGACAAACAACACAACCTGTGCGGACAGTCCAACTTCCAGAGAAGCTTTGCATGAAAGTATACACTCATCAGCAGGCAAACCCAGTTTCAAAGAGGCCCCTCACTGGGGGAATCTTTTGAGGAGTGATTCTGAATTTACAGTGGCTTTCAGGTTTCCTAAATGCAGAAACTTTCACTGTCTGTTTGTGTAAAGGATCACAACCTCATCAATATAATTTTTTTATTTTTTCCTAAAGAGCTAGTATCCTCCAGACTAAATCACTGTAACAATAATAATAATAATAATAAAAAAATAAAGGATATGTATTATATACAAGTTGTTGTTTTCTTTTTTTTAGCAAAGCATAGCTCCAAACAGTTTCAACATTCGAACCTTAAGGAACCCAGTTATAAAATCATGGAATTTTAAAATTTGGCAAGGACTGAAGAGGCCATCTAGTCCAACCCATATCTGATTAGGAATTCCCTCCAAAATATCCCTGACAGTTTGTCTATTTTCTGCTTGAGCACTTCCAAGATGGGTAATATAACCTGTGCAAATAATAGATACTTTTGGATAGCTTTAGCTACAACTTGGCCGTTCTTCATATCAAGCCTTCAAAGTCTGCCACTGCAGACTCTGATCTTTCTATAATGACACTGGACTTCAAGGGCATTAAAGTCAATGCACAGGAAGCTTATACTTCACTAGAAAGGACACTGTACTGATTTTCTTCATTGTTGATTATTTACTGAGTATCATCAATACATACCAGATCAGCTATTCTGCTCAACTTTAGAAAATGACACATGAACATGTGGATCATAAAGAATATTTATTTAATAACACAGACACATCCCTAAATGCTAACAATTCCAAAAGGCTTTCAACCACCACATTTCTAAAAATTAATAAAGGCTAATAAGTAAGCTAATGAATATTCAAGATATACTGACTGGAAAAACAAGTTCAAGTGAGAAGCATTTGAACAGTGGCTTCATATAACACAGGAAAAGGCAACTTTTTCTACATCTGGTCAATTAAAAATGTCCCCAAACTCCACAGTACTTACCTTCTCGTGAGTTTTGATGTTAATTTGCTAAAAAGATTAGAGGAGCCCCTACTTCTGGTTTGGGAAAGTGGAGCTGCCTCATGTGACAAGCTGGGTGACGCCGGTGGGCCGTTGTAAGTTGCTGTTCGACGCTCCCGGGGCTGGCCATGGAAAGTGCTGCGACTGACAGTTCCTCTTGGGAAGCGAATTCGATCAGGAGTAGTTGCACTGCTGATACTATGTGTTGAAGCAACTGGAGTTCTCTGATCAGGAACAGTGCTGCAAAAGTAGAAAATCATAATAATTTTGACTACCTAGTCACAGTCTAACTTTATGACAAACAACTCATGGATATAAAGTTACAGTCACAATCACAACTTTTTGTACAAAGAAAAGAACCAGTTATAAAAAAACAATCCAGAACTGAGGGATATTGTACAAAAGAACTAGGAGAAAAAAGTAGGCCAGAAGTGAAGAGGGATTCAAGGGAACACTATAAAGAAACAAACCTTCAGGGTAACGTGGGAGAATTGTGCACACAGATTTTTCAGGGACAAGACTAATATAGGGAATTTCTGGGACAAAGAATGGCTAAACTAAAACTTCTTTCTGTTGCTTCCCCTCTCACAATGTGCCTACATGCAGAGAATCTTCCCAGTTAAAAATAATCCAACAGAAGAACACACAGGTGGAATTTAAAAATAAGCAACTGAAAAGTTTTTAAGCCCATAAAAAGTACCATTCCACATGCTGAAAGAACTGGGAAGGGAGTGAAGGAATTCCTTGTACCCAGACAACTATGCAGAAGGCACTGAAACACATACAGAGACTGAAATACATGAATGACACCACCAGACAAAGCGTAAAGAAAAGTATGGTGAGAAAGGACATTTTACAGACAGCTATAAAAGACTTTAGGACTCTAAAATCCACAGCACACAACTAAAGCAGTGGGTACACATTAGTATCACAAGGATTCTGTGAGTTTTTTTCTTACATATCCTTGAAGTTATCTCCTTCACTGTCTATTGGAGGTAACATCATCTTGGGCTGCCCCGAGGCTGACATGGACATCGACTTCTGATGTCTCAGCCGAATACAGGTAGAAGATGTGGTACAAATTGAGGCAGGACTAGCTGCATAAGCGAACATTTCTGTCAGGCTGTGGGGGGGGGGTTTGGGTTTAGGCAGAGGCAGAAACAACAGTATGATGGACCAATGACAAAAAAAAGCAACTACAGTTTAAAGCAAATACCTTCTTTCCCAAACCATTTCATTTCTGTCAAAGAAACAAAACCTTAATCATTAATTGCCATTGGGAAATTAGTGCATTTTGCTAATCCACAGTTCTAAAAAATAAGATTTTCCCAAGATTGTTAGCTTAAAAAGAAGACAGCCACTTCCACATTTCTAATGTTCACAGAAAGGTGTTTATATTAAAAAAAAAACAAACCAAAAACATTAGAGATCTGAAGTTTTGTTATAAAGTCCATTTTAATAAGATATCACAACCTGTTCTTCAAATAGACTTTAAATATATGCAAACATTAAAAAATGCCACTGTAAAATGGATTAGCAAATTATGAATATAATGGATCCCCACTTAAACTTTCATTCGACTTGCATTAAAATATCCTGTGTATGCAAATAATATAGTATTGAACTCTATTCTGAAACAATAGAAATCCCTGAACAAACTGAACAAGTGAACAAAATCAAATATTTATTAAATGCTTACTATGTGCCAGGCCCTGCTAGAGAAACAAAGACAAAAATAAAATCAACCCCTTTTCTAAATGAACTTGTATTTTATTGAGGAATGTTTTTCTAAGCATAGCACAATTAAAATTGAGAAGGCAGAGAGCAGTGAAAATCAGGAGGATCAGGGAAGGATTCATAGAAGAGGTGATAGCATCTGAGTTGAGCCTTGAAGAAGGACAAGGATTTGTGCCTTCTAAGACGCACAAATGAGGAAGAAATGCATTCTATGCATAAGAATACTATGTGAAGGTGGAGGCAGAAATGAATGAATGGGGGGCAGCTAGGTGGCGCAGTGGATAGAGCACTGGCCCTGGATTCAGGAGGACCCGAGTTCAAATCCGGCCACAGACACATAACACTTACTAGCTGTGTGACCCTGGGCAAGTCACTTAACCCCACTGCCTATTCCCTCTTCCCCCCCAAAATGAATGAAAAACCAAACATTTAAGTGTTTATTATGTGCAAAGCACTGTAAATACACCTCAAACTTCCTGAGAGGACTGATGTGAATTGCTGATTAAGTGAAGAGGAGTCAGACCAAGCAAGCTAATTATGCCCAATAAGGTTCGCATCACAAATGACTATAAGACTGCCATGCTTCACTGGTCAAAAATGAAACCACTAAAGGAAACAATTATCAGTGTGATTTCTCAGCATAGGCATAACTCAGTAACAATACCCTAACCATTTCCTCTCCTGCATTCCTCTCTTACATTAAAGTCATCTTCTGATGCTTCCACATAATGAGGAAAAAGTCCTTATGAAGTGAAAAGGTTCAAGAGTATTAGTCTGGTATGGGCTGCCTGAGGATCAGGCTGGGTACAGGATGATGAAATCTTTAGCCATATTATCTTTCCAGAGTCTGTAATAGATGTCAACTAAGGAATATTCACTGATGAAATTATAGGCCTAAAATATTGAACTAATGGCAATAACATAACTAAATTCAAGTCCCGGGTCCTCTTTCTGTTTCTCTCTATACTCTTTTCTTGATAATCTTATCAGTTCTCCCAGAACTCATTTATCATCTCTATCTAGATGACTACCAAAGATCTCTATAACCAGTCCTACTCTCTTTCCACCGCATTCCAATTCAACATCACCAACTACCTTTTGGATATTTTGAACTGAAAGTGCTCTAAGCACCTAAAACTCAACATGTCTAAAAGAGAATTCATTCTCTTTCTTCCTAAACTCTACCCTTCTTCCTCCCCCTTTTACTGTCAGGGATACTACTATCCTTTTATTCACCCAGGTTTGTAACCTCAATATCATCCTGACTCTTCATTCCCACTCACTGAACATATCCGTCTACCTGCTATATCTTATAATTTCTTTCTCCACATCACCTCTTATATGCCCCCTTCTTTTTATTCACATGGCCACCACTTTAGCTCAGGTCCTCATTACTTTTCTTATGTGCACTATTATAATAAATAGCTGCCTAACTGTTCTCTTGGGCTGCAAGTTTCTCTAAATCATCTACCAGAGTTTCTTAAACTTTTTCCACTTAAGACCCGTTTAGTGCTTCTTATACTGTGGGTTGTGACCCGAGGTCCAAAAATGTATGTTCTTCTCCAAACCTTGAGTTGATCACCTATCAATATGAGGGTAGCAAGTGTTTCATCAGCAAGTCCTTTGGAGATGTGATCAATGCCTTGAGCACAGGTTTTAAATCTTTTAAAGTTACTTTTCTTTACAATGTTACTGTCTTTGTGTAAACTGTTCTCCTGGCGCTGCTTACTTCCCTCTGTATCAGTTCAAACTACCAAGGAATCTTTGAAATGCTCTCACTTCGTTTATTATAACACAATAATGTTCTAATGCATTCATGTATCATAATTTGTTTAGTCATTTCTGCAATCATCAAACAGGCAATCTAAGATATTCTTTAGATTCTAGTTCTTTGCTTTTTTCCTTTTTTCTCCCCTCTTTAGGATCAGAAAGTTTGTTTTTGCTTGTACTATTTCCTCTCTGGCATTATCATCCCTCTTAAGCTAGTTCACCTACCCTTCATCCTGGATTGTTTCCTTTTCGAGTCTGATAATATTTTTACATCAAAATGTGCATTCAATTGTCCTTTGTCTGTTTCAGATTAAGAGTTAGGCTTTTCTGATGCCCACTTTCCCCACCCACTTCTCCATGTTTGTAGTCTTCTCATTCACCCTGATTATGAGAAATTAGCAAGTTTCACCCCATTCTTTCTTTTGTTCATACTAGTGTGTTGCTTTCACATTCCTTTTGAAAAAAAAATTTAGCATTTTATTTTCCCTCAGTTACATGTAAAAACAATTTTTAACATTCATTTTTAAAACTTTTGAGTTTAAATTCTCTCCCTCCCTACCCCCTTCCTCATTGAGAAGGCAAGCAATTCAAACAGGTTATACATGTGTAGTCACGTAAAACATTTCCATATGCTGCAAAAGAAAACAGAGTCGTTCCCCCCCCAAAAAAACTCAAGAAAAATAAAGTTAAAAAAAGTATATGTTTCAATCTGTATTCAGATACAATCAGTTCTCTCTTTGGGGAAGGGTAGAATTTTTCATCATAAGTCCTTCAGAGTTGTCGTGGATCATTGATTGCCAAGAATAGCTGTGTCATTCACAGCTGATCATCTTACAATATTGCTGTTACTTTGTACACAGTACATTTCACTTTGCATACATTCCTTTCTTTTTCCCTTTCCAATCCTCAGAACAGAACCAATACACCCCCAAGATATGTTTTCCTTATTTAACTCCCTCAATAACATGTGCAGTCATTAAGGATTTGAAAGGACACTTGTTTCTTCTCTCCATTAGAATGTTAGAACTATACCGTTATATATGCATTTCAAAGGTCCTACTTGGGTCTGGTCTTTTCACTAGAAATGCTTGAAAATTCTTTATTCCCATTAAAGGTTCATCCTTCCAGTCCCCTCTCCCTCAAACACTTTGCCTCTCCAGGATTACATACTATTTTGCAGGTCAGTTACTACTGTTTATAAGCTTGTATCTTTGATCTTTTAGTTTATCTTTTTTCAAGATCTACTCTCATTTATATTACAGACTTGGATCTTGGATAATCCTGACATTGCTTCCTGAACTGCTTTCTGGATGTTTACAGTATTTCTCTTCTTTAATACAGGAGCTTGGGATTCTGGCTGTGGCAATCCTGGGGCTTTTTCCTTTTGGAGTTCTTTTCAGGAAGTGATTGGAGTTTTTCTTTTGATATCAGACATCACATGTTTTCTTCTATTTTTAAATTATTTTGATTTTGTTCTAGTATCTCTGTTGTCTCATGGAGCCACTGATTTCTTTGGCATATTCTAGGTTTTTGGGAGTCCATTTCTGGGGTAAAGTTTGCCGCTTTCTCTTCTGAGCTATTTATTCTCATTCCTTCTCAAGGACTTCTATTTCATTTTTAATCTCCTGTATTTTTTCTAGGTATCCGTATAGTCCTTTTATAGAAAATCCTTTTGAGTCTTTGTTTGCTGTTGTTATGGAGTTATACTCTCTCCTTTTGAAGGATCTCTAGATCTATGATAATTTCTGATAACGGCTGGTGTGTTCTTTGATTTACCTGGGGCTCTGTGACAACATATGGCTCTACTTCTTGCTATACTTTTGGTAGGGTAGTTGGACCTGCTTGTTTTCACCCAGGGTCATCTGGGTTCCCTACAATGAGCTCCACTTCAGGTGGTTTAGGCACCCCCTCTCTCCCATCTTTAAGGTTCAGAGTACTAGATCTTCAGGGCAGAGTGTGATCTTTGGGTTTATCAAACACTAGATTACTAAGGTCATTTACTACCGTGTCTTGCATATCCAAATCTATTCCACTGATCCACCACTCTATTTCTTAGCCAGTACCAGATAGTTTCTATGATTACTGCTTTATAATACAGTTTAAGATCTGGTACAGCTATGGCCTCTCACTTCTGGCACTTATCTAGTATAAATCAAGATTAACAAATGAGAAATAGTATTTTGGGAGGTACAACAATAGACAGGAAACAATGCAGTTTAATGGAAAGAACATCAGGTTGGGAAGAAACCTGTGTTCTAATGCTGATTCACAACTTATATGTTAGCAAATCAATACCTCTCTGGGTTGCAACAAAGAAAATTACTCACATTTCTACAGCAACTAATGGGTTACAAAGAAGTGATTTGTAAGATAATTTGTGATTAAGAAAATTATGAAAATATATCTGAAATAGTATGTACTGAAACTGAGCTAACAGTCTCAAGAAGACTCTAGTCTTAAAAAATGTATTTCTGTCTTAGGGGGTTAATTAATATACATTACCTTAATAGATAGATATGTGTTAACTTAGACACTTCTAGCAAGTAGCTAATGTTTTTCTGGGCTCTGAATGAACTACCATATATTCATTATATATGTGGAATTCCAGAATGTGAT